GCCAACCAGACTTGCCAAGCAGCTTTCGGCTCGTTGGTCTAGGGGTATGATTCTCGCTTTGGGTGCGAGAGGTCCCGGGTTCAAATCCCGGACGAGCCCAATATTTAGCACATGTCTTGCATTTCGACAAGGAAGCTTGGTTGTGACCGTGACTGATTTTGGGCAGGTGACCCCAATTTCTGGGAGAAAAGCGCAGAAATGCGATGCCTGAGAAATCAGTACGCGAGTGCTGCTGGCTTTATTCTAGGGCTGTTTATCCACTTTTGGGTGCCTGAGCGACCAGCTACTAGACCCTATCAGTGGAGAAGATGTGGTTTTGCCCTGACAAATTTTCCCCTCGGCTTTTGAAGTCTCAGAAATCTCAAGAAAGGCAAAGATTGCAACAACCTTTTGCAGACATGTTTCTGGGAGAAGGCTACTTGTCACACCCTTTAAAAAAAGAAGGTCTTTAAGGGTAGGGAAGATTGAGATTGTTGACTTTTGTGCTGAACTAGTCTGCTGCTGAGCCTAGCCCAGGAAGATAGCCAAAATCCAGAAGCATCTCTTGGCTCGTTGGTCTAGGGGTATGATTCTCGCTTAGGGTGCGAGAGGTCCCGGGCTCAAATCCTGGACGAGCGCATGCTTTAAACCATGATCCCATCTTCCAACAATGGTGTTGGTCGCGGATGGAGCTCTTTTGTGCCAACCGTCCACCTTTGTGCTGTGCTAGTCCACCGCCGAGCCTAGCTCAGCAAGCCAACCTGACTTGCCAAGCAGCTTTTGGCTCGTTGGTCTAGGGGTATGATTCTCGCTTTGGGTGCGAGAGGTCCCGGGTTCAAATACTGGACGAGCCCAATATTTAGCACATGTCTCGCATTTCGACAAGGAAGCTTGGTTGTGACCGTGACTGATTTTAGGCAGGTGAACCCAATTTCTAGGAGAAAAGCGCAGAAATGCTATGCCTGAGAAATCAGTACGAGAGTGCTCCTGCCTTTATTCTAGGGCTGTTTATCCACTTTTGGGTGCCTGAGCGACCAGCTACTAGACCCTAACAGTGGAGAAGATGTGGTTTTGCCCTGACAAATTTTCCCCTCGGCTTTGGAAATCTCAGAAAGAAAGTCCTTTCCCTAAGAAAAGGGGTTAAAGAAAGGTTGGCAGAGCCCAGTTAGCAAAGGATGGTTTCGATCCATCGACCTCTGGGTTATGGGGCCAGCACGCTTCCGCTGCGCCACCCTGCTTATGGAAGCAAGTGGGAGCTAAAATGAGAGAGCCACCCAATGCTCTTTCTGGCTGTTTACACTAAAGTTCCGCACTAAGCTAGAAACTGTTTGCTGATTTTGGTCCACAGTGACTGACCATAACAATTTGCATGCTGATCATCAGATTATAAAAATGACTCGTGGCGATAGAGTGTATGTGTGAAAGAAAGGCCTTTCCCAAAGCACTTAAAGAAAGTTTGGCACAGCCCAGTTAGCAGAGGATGGTTTTAATCCATCGACCTCTGGGTTATGGGCCCAGCACGCTTCCGCTGCGCCACTCTGCTTACAGACGCAGGTGGGAGCTAAAACAAGAGAGCCGCCCAATGCACTTTCAGTCTTCTGAGGCCCTAAATCCAGGGAAGGCTTTGGCTGTAAAAGGAACCCTGCTGATCCTTCACTTCAGCTGTCTGCATTATGCTATCAGCTTTCTCATAGGCAGCATGGCATAGGAAAAGCCAGCTTAGTCGAGGATGGTTTGGATCCATCCACCTTCAGGCTACCTCTGTACCGGACTCATAGATTGTTAGGACACCAGCAGCCAATGGCTACATTACAACCAGCCTGAGGTCAAGCAATAGTAATACCACGGCTAAATGTTTCACCTCCCTGCAGATGGAGGTCCGGCTTCACTGAGCACCTATTTAGCTCAGCCGTTCGACAAACCGCCAAAGGAGCAACATTAGGTCTGAACCCGGAGCTGATCCTTTCTTACTGTGTGATACTAAATGGGTTGTGGGCAGTGGCATCACAAGGGGGCCGCGGGGGGTGCGGCCCGCATCCGGGTGACACCATTGGAGGGATGACACCAAAATGACTGACAGACATTTTGGTGTCACCCCCCTCTGAAAAGTCGGGCGCTCGGTCATGGACCGAACGCCCGACAGTATCAGGAGAGAGGAGGGGACCCGGTGGCATACCTTATCCCGCCGGGTGACTGTCCCCTCCTCTCTCTGCCGGTGTCCATCACCAAGATGGCCACCGCCAGGTATCAGAAGATCGCCGCATGTGCGCGATGACATAATCACGCCACGCGCGTGCGCGGTGACGTCTCGGCGGGGTGACACCCGGTAACCGCTCTGGTTGTCACCCAGTCTCGGGACGCCCCTGGTTGTGGGTTCATGGAGAACTGGGCCGACTAACAGCTCTAATGTAGGGATGGGCTCAGTTGTGTCCCTATAATGAGGAAACCTGAGAATTTAGTCCAAGGTGGTGCCTCCTTCAGTCATGCAGGCAGAGCGATATGTTGGCATTAGTAAAGATGAGCAGCCCATGTCCCGCTGCTCTGTCCTAAAGTTAAAGGGACATTAAACCCTCAGATTTTTTAACATTAAACAATACTGTAATGTGCGCCTTACTGTAATCCATTGTTGTTTACCTTCTCTTTGCTGCTCTTCCTTTTAAATCTGTATCTGTTCTCATGCTGGGCAGAACTTCTGTTTTGCAGCAGACTGCCTTGTCTCAGGAATGGATATATGGTGTCTGTGTATAGGTTTGTATAGGTTTGTAACCTGAGCCAGCACTACAGGAAGAGGCCCTGAGCTGCAAAGGGAAGTTCTCCCCAAGCATGAGAAGACATGAGGATTTAAAAGGAAGAGCAGCAAAGAGAAGGGAAACTACCATGGATTACAGTAAAGCGCACATTACAGTATTGTTTTATGTTAAAAAAATCTGAGGGTTTAATGTCACTTTAACTAAAGAACAACATTAAAAATGCACAATTCCTTTAAATAACATTCTTGGGGGTTCCCCTGAACCTGCCTGGGAAGTTGCTCATCTGTACGATGCATACAACCTGTGACGGACTGAACCGTCACTGGGGCTGCTGGAGGAGCCTGGGGGCTAGCCTCCTTCCTACGGACTATGGACCTAGAACTATGGAGACACCCCTCAGACCTCTTGGGGTTACATGGAACCATTCTACTAGGTTCATAGAGGGCCATTGTTTAGAGTGATGGGATCAAGCTATTATCTAATTAAGGACTTCCAATGCGGCACCTCGCTGTCTGGGGGAGGGGACACACTGAACTCTAATCTGATTTTGTCAGGTATAAACTCTGTGTGTTTCCTTCAATAAAGTCAGTTCTTGGTTTCCACTTCAACATTAGTGTTGTCTGATGATTGAGTGGTTTAGCTTTCCGTCCTAATATATTGGTTCTGTCCAATAACTAGGCAGGTTTGGGCTAAGGACACTGGAATTTAGGTTCCAGCGGAGAGGGAGCTGATTTCTGACGGAGGCACCCAGTCGGGGTACCAGGCGGTCCGTCACACAACCCACTACAGCAAAACTTATATTTACAAAGGAAAAAATGCTGTTTAATTTGCTTGCAAATGACTCTCGGGATTCCCTTCATCTATAGCAGACTCTTATCCCAGATGAGGGTCAGTTACAGTGGCGTAAAAATCGCCATAGCGACCCAGGCGGCCGCTATGGCGCTATGGGGCCCGGGCACAAGGGGGCCCAGCCAGGGCACCCCTCTGGTGCCGTGCGGGCTGCCTGGGTGATCTGTGCAGAGGTGCGTTCTTCTCCACAGCCGCTGCTGAGTCAATGAGAGCCAGCAGCGGCGGTGGAGGAGGCTGGACCCCGCAGGGGAGGAGGCGGGGCCCGGGGGGTCAGCAACAGAGGAGGTGAGGCCAGTGACGGAGCAGGAGGCGGGGCCGGCGACGGAGTAGGAGGCGGGGCCGGAGGAGGACGGAGGAAGAAGAGGCGGACAGGTAAGGAGTGTGACCAGCCCACCTAAGGGTGACCCTGCAGAGCCCACCATAGAGAGTCATTATTGTGGGGTCCCTTGTAAAATTTAGGCCAGGCTCTTTGTATCTGGTCTGTATTTTGGAACCATCCAAAAATTGACATAGGTCCCCCACAAAATCTATTACCCAAACAGCACCTTGGAAGGCCAGAAAAGGTAGGGGGGAAGCCTTCATATTCATATCAGGCCACATGTCCTCAACATGAGGAGGTGTTTTACTAGGGGTAGACAACTGGCAAAGCATCTTGTGCCATGTTGATGATGACAAGAACCTCTTGTCCCCAAAACCATATGGAGGGGTCTGCGGGTGGGGGGGCTAATCGGAACCCAGAACTCTGCTTTAAGAATACCTGTCACGTACATTGGTATGAGCCTTAAGTGACGAGGAAGGCCTTCCCTTGCTGCTCTCGTCTGAGCCCCACTGGAGATGGAACAGTAGTTATACAGACAGAGAGAGGCACGAGTGCCTGTGGCTGGTATGACTGCTGGACACACTGGATGTGCTGATGTGGACAACAGGACGCCAGAGGCAGCTGGTGGTCGATGGCAGATCAGACGACACTGGTGTGAGAGGCTGAGGCTGAGGCTGAGGCGTAGTCAGGGACAAGCCAGATCGGTAACGTACGGTCAGCGTGGTACATGAGCAGGTGACAGAAGCAGAGTCAGGAGCAGGCCGGGTCATACACTAGCGAGCAGAATGTTACCGGATCAGAAGGCAGGAGAATGGTCAGGGACGAGCCGAAGGTCACAAGGCAGGCAGCAGGCAGGCAGAGTCAAGAATCAAGCCGGGTCAAACGGGTATCAGGAGCAGAAACACAGATGCAGGTTACAGCTAAAGATCTCTCAGCAAAGTGCAGATGCAGGAGCCATCTTTAAATAGCCCGCCTGGCGCCAAGAAAATGCGTGACAACAATTCGTTTTACTATCAATTTATTTTTCTAATGTTATGTAACAAGTTGAGTTCCATTCGGTGAGGGTGAGAACAGATCATGGACATCAGCGCAAGAGTGTCTCCTCATTTCCTCTTCTGCTTTGCAATAAGGTGAACAAACCGATTATATGCCGGGCCGAAATTCTGAGAAAGAAGAGAAAAATTAGACTAATTATAATCACATTATAGGTTCAATTCACAGAACTCACACACCAGGATGGGGACCCTGACTTTCTGAAAAGTGACAGTTTCAGTGGAATCAGGGCCGAATTTCCCACAAGGCCAACCAAGGCCCAACCTTGGGGCAGCAGAAAGTAGAGGGGCAGCAGGGGTGTGGAATTCCTATATCCCGATGCCCGGGACATGCAGTTCCGGGCACCGGGTGAGTAATTGCGCATTGAGGAACCTGGCCTTGGGGCAGCAGAGAGAGTAAATCCGGCCCTGAGTGGAATCCAATGAGATTAGAAAATGACAGTCACCTGGCTAAAACTAGAGCGCTTTGACCTTCATGAATTGACCCTTATATGCCGCACTGAAGCTGACAATCCCTCTGACACTAAGCATCTGGAGTGGTTAAATGATCCGTAGTACATGATATGTAGCCCTGTACCCCCTTTTCCACTTACAGAGCTAGGTTATTTTTCTTTTAAATAAATATTAATGTAATTTTATTGGTATCTATCTACCATTAGCTGCCTCATTTCCCACCCTCGGCTTATATTCGGGTCAATACTTTTTCCCAGGTTTTTTTGGTAAAATTAGGTACCTCGGCTTATATTCGGGACGGCTTATACTTGAGTATATACGGTATTTACATATTAATGGGTGGTGCCTTTTACATATGAATAAGCTGCGACTCATTCTCCCAAAAAAATATGTCCACGTGTCGCTAGAGTGTTCGGGTTTCGCTTGAAGAAAAGGTGGCAACCCTAATCTAGGGGCCCCCTAATTTAGAAGTGGCGCAAGATACAAAATCATTACAATCAATTTAAGTAGAACGAAAGGCACGTGTGTAAAACTTTGTAGCTCTGGCCAATAGTAAGCAAGAGCAACTGTCATTTATTAGGGAATATGCAGCAAAAATGTCCACACACAGGGCCACGGCTCAGTTCAGCAGCTTGCTGTTTGAGTGTGCCCATGCACAGCATTGCCAGGCTTCTATTGGGGCCTACATGTTCCATAATGCATTACAGGCTCACTTCCAAGCCTCCTTCCATTAACGGCACTCAGTGCAGTGTTGGTGTTTGTTGGCACGTCCTACCTGTAGTTCTCTCGGAAGGGAGAATTTCGGTGACTACATATCAAGCTCCATGGAGGCAGAGAAGGTAGCCACCAAAAACCAGCAAGTGCTGATAACCTGTATTACTACCCAGGGGCGTACCGAGGCCGGGTGACACCCCACCGTGTCTTCATCGCTCGTGTGTGTGAAGTCATCGCGCATGCGCGGCCACCTGATTGACGCCTGCCGGCGGCACTGTCAGTCATTTTGGTGTCACCCCTGCAATGGTGTCACCCTTGTGATGCCACTGTTACTATCAAAGGTAACAGACAACCTCCTTCCTAAAAAAAAAAAGTCCAAATTGAGCATGTAGATGCACGAAGCACACTCAGCAAATATCTGTGAATGTTAATTTTGGCTCAAATAATGCCAAAAACGAATGTTCTACTTTGAATGTAGTGTTGTAATAATTAGGGCTGCGGAAATTAACGATTAATTCCTCGATTAAACATTCATTTTTTTGATCGATTAATTTTTTTTTGATCGGTACTCACCTCTCCGCCGACTTCCGGGTCTTCCGGGAGTTCCGTCAACGTCACGGACGATGTCACCGGACTCCTCCCCCCTTCCCCAAGTGGCTCCGTCGGCTAATGAAAGGAAGGGGGGAGGAGTCCGGTGACGTCGATGTCCATGACAGCCAACGAAGGGAAGCGGGGAGGAGTCCGGTGACGTCGATGTCCATGACAGCCAACGAAGGGAAGCGGGGAGGAGTCCGGTGACGTCGATGTCCATGACAGCCAACGAAGGGAAGCGGGGAGGAGTCCGGTGACGTCGATGTCCATGACAGCCAACGAAGGGAAGCGGGGAGGAGTCCGGTGACGTCGATGTCCATGACAGCCAACGAAGGGAAGCGGGGAGGAGTCCGGTGACGTCGATGTCCATGACAGCCAACGAAGGGAAGCGGGGAGGAGTCCGGTGACGTCGATGTCCATGACAGCCAACGAAGGGAAGCGGGGAGGAGTCCGGTGACGTCGATGTCCATGACAGCCAACGAAGGGAAGCGGGGAGGAGTCCGGTGACGTCGATGTCCATGACAGCCAACGAAGGGAAGCGGGGAGGAGTCCGGTGACGTCGATGTCCATGACAGCCAACGAAGGGAAGCGGGGAGGAGTCCGGTGACGTCGATGTCCATGACAGCCAACGAAGGGAAGCGGGGAGGAGTCCGGTGACGTCGATGTCCGGGACGGCTAACGAAGGGGGGAGGAGTCCGGTGACGTCGATGTCCATGACAGCCAACGAAGGGAAGCGGGGAGGAGTCCGGTGACGTCGATGTCCGTGACGGCTAACGAAGGGAAGGGGGGCGGAGTCCGGTCACGTCGATGTCCGTGACGGCTAACGAGAGTCCGGTGACGTCAATGTCCATGACGGCTAACGAAGGGAAGGGGGGAGGAGTCCGGTGACGTCGATGTCCGTGACGGCCAACCAAGGGAAGGGGGGAGGAGTCTGGTGACGTCGATGTCCGTGACGGCTAACGAGAGTCCGGTGACGTCGATGTCCATGACGGCTAACTAAGGGAAGGGGGGAGAAGTCCGGTTACGTCGATGCCCGTGACGGCCAACCAAGGGAAGGGGGGAGGAGTCTGGTGACGATGTCCGTGAAAGGCAAACGAAGGGAAGGGGGGTGGAGTTCAGTGACGTCGATGTCCGTGACGTCACCGGACCCCTTCCCTTCGTTAGCCGACAGAGTCGTGCTCTGTACTTATACATCGCAAGGGCCATTTTATATCCATTCCCAATAGGTGTACAATTGGCACTCCCAGACAAGAAACATATGGACACATTTATTTAGATTAGGTTTTCTATGGTACTCGTTTACAGCCAGGGGCATTTTATATTCGCTGACCGCAAATTATATGTTCCTTTTCAGAATGCTCCTTCGGCAGGTTTTGTAACCCGCATGCTAAAGCTCTGCAACATTTTTACTTTCGAGGTCAACTCAACCCTTCAATTATACTACAAACGAATAAATTGTATTGTCGGTATGTGGATGGTTTATGGCTGTGTCGCCTTTTGTTTTTTGCCTTTTCCTGAATTATTGCTAACAGGACCATGATCGCCTCATTTTATACCTTGATAAGCATTTTATATGTATCTATAATTTTTAGTAACGTTCTAGTAAATATAATAAATAATTGAGCATGTAGATGCACAAAGCACACTCGGGAAACACAGGGGGCTCAGCAGGTAAAACTGACACGTTGATCGAACCCCATGCAATGGTTGTGCTATCTCTATAAGAGAGAGGCCGAGAATAGGATTGGCCGTAGGTCTACCATCTGCAATTGGCTGGAAGCCGAGCACCTCGGACAGAGGGGGAAAAAAACTGGCACTGGACATGGCATATTTATGGCAATTTATAAACTATTTGCAGGGCCCTTCACCCTGCAAATATCCGTGAATGTTAATTTTGGGCGAATAATGCCAAAAACGAATGTTCTACTTTGAATGTAGTGTTGTAATAATTAGGGCTGCGGAAATTAACGATTAATTCCTCGATTAATCGTTAATTTTTTTGATCGATTCACTTTTTTTTTGATCGGTACTCACCTCTCCGCCGGCTTCCGGGTCTTCCGGGAGTTCCGGCGACGTCATTACTGTCTGGATCCACCCAGCTGCGTGAGTGACAGCTGGTTCTGCCTATCTAGAGGCAGAGCCAACTGTACCCGCCCCCTCCCCCAGTCAGCGCTGGAGGATCGGAGGGGGGAGGGGGGAATCCCTGCAGGGAGCCGTGAGTGACAGTCACGGCTCTCTGCAGGGACATGATCGATAAGCGACGGTATGTCTTCGCTCACTTCCCGATCTATTGAGCCGACCTGTGACAGTCTAATTGTCACACGTCGGCTCAAACTATGAGGATGAGTGATTTTCACTCGCCTCATAGTTCTCATTTAATTCCCATGATCCTCTGTTCCATCTGGTGGTCATAATGTGTCATTTCAACACCACATTCAAACTGGGAAGAATGTATTAAGAACATTCGTTTTTTGGCATTATCCACCCAAAAAGGAACGTTACAGATATTCGCGGGGCAGATGGCCCAGCGGATTCTTTTTATAACTAGACCCCTAAATCACAAAAAAAAAATTAAAAAATGTTTATTTAGAATTGAACCTAAACCGTGATCACTTTTCTCACGAGCGGGCACAGAGGCGCTCCAGGATTTTAAACAATCATGTCAGATAATTGCGTTGTGTCACCTTGGAGTGCGTTGGGGGGAACACTGACCTGGATGGCTTGGTGAATGAGCCCCAAGTAGGCCGCTATGATGACGGCCATAAACAGATCGAACACAGCCGGCTTCACCCTGCAATGTGAGAAGACAATAAGACACATGTTTTTTTTATCATTGACACACAACATTCATACAACTTTCACCCAAGATTCACACATTTTCTGATTGGATGTCACGAGCAGTGTGAATCCTGATTAAAAGGGTGGGGAAAAAAATAGACCACTTAGTATCTGAATTCTCCAACGAGGATGCCGAGAGAAGCCCCGACGTTGGACAGCCCGGCATTCTCCGACGTTTATTATTGTCCTCATTGTAACAATTGCCTGGAAATCATTTTTATAGGTGACATTTTATGTTTTGCTGTCTCCTATTTTCATGATGGGTTTTCATATACAGAAACATGAGGACAAAAACGACATGGAGCCCATGCTGATAAACTTGGTGGTGATCACTCTTTGATTCTATACATAAGGGCTGTAGCTAGAGCGAAGCGAATGAGGCGAGTCTCTTGGGTGCAG